TGAGTGGAGTCCTGACCTCCATTGAGAGGGTCAGCCTGCAGCGGGTCTGTGGGCAGAGAGAGGCCCCGGGCCCCGGGGAGCCTGTGGGTGTGTGGATGAGCACCAGCTGTACCTTCACCACAGACTCAGTGTGTGTGTTCAGGTTTGATTGACAGACTCGTCCTGGATGAAATACATTTAACAGCACCAGACTGACAGTTCAACAGCACGTTGAGCAGTGAATATATCTCATTACAGTGGCAGAACTGGTCTGCTAGACCAGTGCTTCTCAACCAGGGGTCCGTGGACCCCTAGTGGTCCTTGACATAAGGCCAGGGGATCCGTATAAAGTATGAATTTTTGTATAAATGTTGTATATTTTGACATGACATGTTCCCATGAAAGAAAAATCCAATATAGCTGATGATATGGCCAAATACTGGACAAGTCAGCTAACTTGAATTATACTTGACTGCATTTGGTCCTCACAAAGACACAAATGATACGAGTCAGTTTTGTTCTGGGGGTCCTTGAGGATGATTCTGAATTGGACTGGGGTCCGGTACGCCAAAAGGTTGAGATTCACTCTGTTAGACATTTGTTCTTCTCAACACTGTAAAGTTTCAAAGATTATTGGAGTATGTTTTACAAGAAAATGTCTGTTTCTCTACGTATTCAATTCAATGTGTTACTTGCGGTTTGTTTGTAATCGTTTGTGAAATTTACTAGCAATTTCTGAGTGAAAATTGTTTCTACACCATTTTTAGTGAATATCACACAAGATGGACAACATGAAGCATTTTGAAGAGTGAACAGTGTTTGTAGGTCATTTTAATTGTAATGTATTATTTTAAATAACATTGGTTTAATAACGTGTATATATTTTTATTTTATTAAACGTGAATATAATTTTACATTTTATAATTATATTTATAGTAACATTTACAATTTGTAATAATAATACTGTTATTAAAATTAATTATTATTAAAAGAAATTCATTATTATTTTTTAATTTGATTATTATTATTATGTGAAACAGTTCCACCAAGTGAATATATTTTATATATTCACTTATGTATTGATATCATCTAAATCTGTGATAGCATTTCATATTCATGCCACATGCGGCAAGGTATAAAACAATGGAAGGATATCATCGTAGAAATAGACATGGCTACTCCATATGTTTGAATAACATGTGTTTGAAAGAGATAATACCTAAACCAGAAATGATGCTCAATGAATGTATCTTTATTTGCTCCAGCAGTAAGCAGACATGCTATCATTAGTTAACAATAACTTCTAGTCATCTATCAAGCATGCAATATTCAAAGTTATGCTTTTTACAGATGATTATTTGACCATTTTAATGTTGCATTAAAAAAAATCCTCAGCTAAATAAAACTATCTGTGTTAGGAAAGCAGCTGTCAAGCATTACTCTTCTTACAGGCTATCACATTCAGCTTTGTTTTTCTTAAAACTGATAATATGGCAAATCAAGTGCAATATTCTTCAATCTCTTTACCACCTCCACCTTTTTATCATGTTTCCAAATTTTTTCGAATGCAAAGGCTTTAATTCCCACATATTTTTGTAACTGTACAAGACTGTCTTCAATGCTATATTCCCCATTTTCTGCTAGGCATGTTTTCAAACAGGGTGAGTTTACAGTGAAAAATCCCTCACACTTATCTTTAACCTGCAAGATCTTATCCAAATCTTTTTTTAGGCGAAACTCTGAATGTTTCACTCCATTTGACTGTGCAGCAATGAGGTGATCGCTCTGGTAAACCTCATTGAGCTGCAGTTTTTCTTTCACTTTAGTTAGTAACTCCTTGCTTGGATAGCCAGAACCTTTAAGACATTGGTCCTTCTCGACTCTGAATGTGACAGCGTATTGTCCCATGTTACCCAACCTGGAAATTACAAAGCAGTGGGAATTTAATAGTTTGTAAGAGTTTATTTCTCAAATTTTAAAACAAATATTAAAAGAAAAACTGTAAATTCTACTTATATGTTCAATCAAAGCAACATACCGATTCCCAAGTTGTTTACAATACTCATGAGAGTTTTTGGGTTCACAGTCTCGCCGACTGCACAAGCGCAAAAATGAAGCAGGCAGATCAGGAGAATCCTCTTTGGTACAGTGAAAACCTGAAGCAAACACACACAAATACAAACTTTCAGATAAAAATATATGCGCACAACAAAGCACAGAATTTTAACATAGCATTCTATCTATTAAAAATAAAATATTCTTTTAAGTCTTATTGTGTGTACACATTTTAAGAGCTTTTATTTCCCAACATGAGCAATAGTGATGCTGCTTTAGCTCCAGCCTCCACTAGCAATGATATTAAGTAATAGAAGCACGACTTACCATTTTATTTGTTGCCCAAAATAAGACGGTTCAGAGATGCTGTGTGAGTCTGTAATGAAGCAGGACTGATGAGAAAGAGGAAGCAGATGGTGTTTATTCTGACACTCTCCCAGCTCTCTCCTGCAAACATCATGACAAAAACACTTGACTTACTGACTCCTTTAATAATGTCATTGAGCTTCTTTGTGAATGTTGTTGGACTTCCTGTAAACTGTCAATAACAATCACAACCCATAAATCCCTGCAAGAACTCCAAAGACTCTCATGGGTTCCTCCAGTAACCTCAACATATACAAAGAAAGGCCCTTGAAATACTGACAAATATAGTACAAAGTAATAACATATATATTTGAGGCACACTGAAAGGTTCTCCAAAATGTTCTACTAGGAAATGAACCAAAATTGTGCATCGGGTATCTTTTCACTTTTACAGCTGAAAGTGTTCGCTCAAAACAATTAAATCTGGCAAATAATGTCAAAGTTGTATGAAGTACAAAAGGAACAATCACTTTCCCATTTGTTTTATTTATTTTGAATATTAATTTATTTTAATTAAATGGCAATAACACATGATGCTGACTATAATTAATGAAATATGATTTAAAATGTTGCTGTGTGTCTTACGCAAACTGCATTTCCAAAACCTTTCTGGGTCACACTTTATTTTAAGGTCCAACTCTCGCTATTAACAAACCAATTAACTATGACTTTTGCCTCAATAAACTCCTAATTTGCTACTTATTAATAGTTAGTAAGGTAGTTGTTAAGTTTAGGTATTAGGTAGGATTAGGGAAATAGAATATGGTCATGGTTAAGCAATTAGTTAATAGGGAGAATTGGTCCCTATACTAAAGTGTTACCCATTTCTGTTATTTTCTGTGTTACAGTTTGGTGCAGGGCCTTGTGGTCTGGTTGACAGTTGGTTTGGTTTTCGTGTGTATGTGTGTGTGTGTGTGTGCGTGTGTGTGTGTGTCAGTCATTGCATTATATAATTTTCTCCACATATTCATACTACTGTATTTACAAACAGATGCATTAAAAGTCACCCTCAAGGCACCAATTATCAGCACGATCTGTTTGGCGTTGTGCAATTGTGATTAATATTGCAACGTGTTGCCAAGCCTTGTTGTCTGTTTGACATCAAGCTTTGTGTATGTGAATGACCTTGTGTGAGGCCATAGGATGAGACATGCACCGCAAATATTCAGTCACATTTAGTTACTATGTCAAAACAGTGAAAAAAAAATGTATTTATTTATTTATTTGGTAGAATTTGTCCTTGTTGAATAATAACCGACACAGAAAAAGATAAAAAATTATATCAATAGTATAAAAATATAAAACTAGTAAATTACAAGTATGCTGTTAAGTTCACTTAAAGAAAACCTAAGTATTCTTGCATTATAAAAACTACTGAACTTGTAGTTTACTTCTTAAACTAAAATTGTTCTACAAGTTTTTAACTAGTGACCTATCAGTATATATAAGTTGACTTGTCGTATAGTTGCAGTACAAATGATAGGTGTAATTGTAAAATGGTTATGTACTCAAAGTTTTCTACTGTTACACTTAAAGTGTACTTAAAAGTATACTTTTAGAAACTAAAAAGTGGGTCAATTTAGTCCCAAGTAGAGTTGAAATTGTACATTTACAAGTATACTACTAGTACATTTATATACTTACTACGTAAAGTATGCTTAAAATATACTTAATTAATCAAACTTGAAGTATACTTATTTTTGAGAATCCATCACAACATAATGAAGAGAACTACTCTATTTATGATGGCAATTAATACAATAATACCTATGAGGGTGAACTAATCACTGGATTATCAAGTTCGTAGCACCACATCTTTGAAAAACTTTGTTTTGTCACAAGAGTTTTGTTTAAAGCACTTAATTTCAAGTACATTTATCTATAAGAATGTATTGCTATGTCTGCAAAGTCAAATGTTTGATTATTGCTATAAGTCAAATGTATATAACTAATATATATATATATATATATATATATATATATGAACTAATCACTGGATTATCAAGTTCGTAGCACCACATCTTTGAAAAACTTTGTTTTGTCACAAGAGTTTTGTTTAAAGCACTTAATTTCAAGTACATTTATCTATAAGAATGTATTGCTATGTCTGCAAAGTCAAATGTTTGATTATTGCTATAAGTCAAATGTATATAACATATATATATATATATATATATATATATATATATAAAAACATTTATACAAAATAATATGACATTCTACAGAGAACAAATGATTTAAATCACTTATTAGGCACTGAACAGGTGTTCAAGAATAATACTTTAAAGAAGTGTGTTTGGAGAGTAAGAATTCTGATGAATAATTAAGTAATTAATTTCATAGTCCAATGTATGCTGGGCAAAAAGAGTTTTATGAAAGTTATGAGCTGAAGTGATTCAATAACATTCCAGCGTTTGATCATTGAAGTAAGGTAAAGCTAGTTTATTTATAACATGTTAGCACATTTCACTCACAATGGTAATTCAAAGAGCTTGATAAAAAGGATTAAACTGTAATCATAAAAGATGCATAAGAAATAAAAATTTGCTAAAAGAAAGTATTAAAAATGAATAAGAACATGCAGTGGAATAAGCATTTTCCTAAACTTTAGGCAGACAGAAAGCAATCACATCCCCATTGTTTCTTTCCACACATTTCTGACATTCCATCACATTTGTTCTCGTACACCGATAAAGAGGCACTTGCTCATGAATCGTTAGGAGATCTTTAGCCATATCCTTCCTCCACGCGTCCTTCTGCCAGATCTTATTAAACACAAAAATATTCATTGCCTCTTTTCTGATATTTTTCCAGTTTGAAAGGCCATCCAGAATCTTTTCTTGACCCTCAATGCACCTCGTCACACAAGGTGAGTTGTGCGAATAGAAAACTACACAGCTGTTCTCATTTGTCTCTGCTAGAAGTTTGTCCATGGGAGAATTACTGAGTGGATAGAGCAGAACATGTTCAGCATGTTCCTTTGGTTTTTTAGTTGGCCGTGCAGCAATTACATTTTTTGATGATGTGCAGAGTACACATTTTTCTCCTTTATTGAGAAAATTTCTCACATTTTCTGCATCTTCCCTGCTGAACACAGTCTGGATATCAGATTGTTCTTCTGTACACTGAGCCTTTGGGACAATAATCACCATTACATACTGAACATCAGGGTGGCTGGTTGGCTGGACACTGGAAGACATTAAATAGCATACGATTATCACAATTTTCAAGAAGTGTTTTTACCATGTTCCTTGTGCCTTTTTATATTAATCAACTCAACAATTAGTACATGCATTTGAATTTAAAACTAAATATGTCTATTTTAATTCAGCTGACTATCAACTGTATAAACTGACTTACTTGTCATCAAAATACTGGATCATTTTAGCAAGGGCAGCAGGGTTCACATCCCCCTGAATGCTTTGAACACACAGATGAAGTAGGTAGAGGATGATGAGACCCCTCAGTGATGCCTGAAGGGAAAACCACTCATTTCAGCACAAAAGGGATGGTCTGAAATAACTATAAACCACCAAGAGCAGCAGTCAATACTAAATAATACAGAACATTTCCATTGTTTTCATCAAACCCTATCGTATGCCTTCAGAACACTCGAAAAATATACGACGCGAGTGACATGGTGTCACGGGTTGCTACTGTGAGGAGCACGGAGCGAGGAATGAGGAGATGCGGAATTCATTTCAACCAGTCTTTAATAAACTTCCAAAGGAACCAGGAGAACACACGAAGCAATGTAGACAAAACAATTCCAGACAAAGAAACTCAGAACAGGCTAGAACTAAATAGGGCAGATAACGAGGGGCAGACAGGTGAGGAGGATAACTAATAATGAGACACACCTGGAACAAATCAAACTACATTGGGACAGGAACAGGAAGGACCAAATAAGGAACATACACGTGACAGATCGCCCTCCTCCCGGATGGCACGTCCCGCACCGTAACAGGACTGGAACAGGGTGGAGACAAGGAGAGCCTCCAGGGCGGATCAGGAGGCCATGGCGGATCAGGGGACTCAGGAGGCCATGGCGGATCATCCGTGACCTTAGCTGGCTCGGCCACGGGTATATGGCCCCCCCCCCAAAATTTTCTTGGGGAAATCTAGGAATCCTGGGGGGCGCTCTGGAGGAGCGGGCACTAGATGGCGCTCTAGAAA